TAAGGCTTTTTTTGTAGCCTAACCATACTATATTTCAGGGGGAAATTCATGTGCTGCTGAGAAGATGCATTTGGCAGCTGGTGTGTGAAATATTCTGTAAATGTCCATTACAGCTGCACAATCTATAGTACATTCCTTACATCTCTTTTCTGTTGGCATACATTTGCAATACATATCAAACATATTCACTGTGGGGAATCAGTACATATATATTATGGCTTATATCTAGATACTCCCCCAAAGCCTCATGCACTCAAAGGTAAGGCGTTTGGAAGTGACCGGATCATGGATGTGTGATACTGGATGTGTTAGCTACTTTGCTTTCATTGCTGAGACAAAAATACCTGACACGCAAAGTTAAAGAGGAAAGGGTTTATTTAGCTCACAGTTTGTAGAGGTTTCAGTCCATAATTGGCTGGCTCCAAAGCAGAGTGGCACATGGCAGAGGGATATTACAGGAGAAACAGTTCATAGCGCCCACTCTGTAGCAAAAGCAAGAAGGGAACCTTAACAGCGTCTTTCTGCCCATTTTATTTTATCTGGACTACTGGGATTAGGGTGGTGCCAAACCAATCAGCGTACTGGTTTAGTAATCACATGCCCCTAATCCCACCATCACACACTCTAGATTCAGCCACCTCTGAAAAAGCCACCTATGACTGCATGACACAGACCATAACACTGGATTAGTCCACTGGTGGGATGTTTACAGTGACGTGCAATGTTGGGAGGTGATGCCTGGTGGGAAGAGGTAGGTGTCTTACTTAATTTCTTCTTGCTGGGACAAAATACCCAACACCCAAAACTTAAAGGAGGAAAGTGTCATTTTAGTTCTGCATCCTTCCCCTCCCCCTGGCAGAAGGTCCTTGTGCTGTGACCTTGGGGGCCATGCTTACCTTGAAGAAGCCCCCTCTTAGGTGGCAATTCCTACAGGGCAAGTGACTCTACAGTGAGCCCGCTTTGTATAAGCAAACCAGCCAGTGCTGAGTCCAGCCCAACCCCCTCCATGGGACTCTCCTCCTCTGGGCCACTCTCCCCAGCCCTAATTACTGCAGAGGGAAGGACCAGAAAACCAGGCACCTTCCCTGCGTCCAGAGCTTGTCCAAAGGCTGCTTACCCTGGCCTGATGCCTCTCACAGAACCCACAAGACAGGTTCTTGCCCATGTTCCCCTCATGCACTCTGCCCCCTGACCACCTGGTGGCCCTTGCCCTTCACTGCTGAGTACCAAACTGTGCCAGTCGAGTGGGCCCCTGAGTCCATAGTTTCTCACCACTTTCACTGAAATTCTGAACTGAATCTCACATTTGAAACCATGGGTGTAAGGAGTTAAACCTGCATTTAAAACAATGGGTGCATTGAGGAGGATATAAGAAAATGCAAAGACATCCATTGTTCCTGGGTAGGAAGAACCAATATAATAAAAATGGCCATACTACCAAAACTGCTATACAGATTCAATGCAATCCCAATCAAAATCCCAAAAGTATATTTCACAGAACTAGAGAAAACAATCCAAAAATTCATTTGGAACCAGAAGAGACCTAGAATAGCAAAAGCAATT